TTTCCCTAAGAGTCTGCTGCACATAATGTTTATTATAGTTGTACTGATTCTGTGTATTCTTGTGCGGTTGTTCTGCATTATTCACATCTGATCTGTTGATCGTAATAAAGTATTAAATTAACCCTCATTCAGTCCATTATCAGGTCCAGACACAAGTTCAGCACAGAAACTGCCTCACGTGGATTGGTGGAAAATGAGAGGTAGAGCTGAGTATCGTCAGCATATTGCTGACTCCTCAACCCAAACCTCCTGATGACCTCTCCCAGCGGTTTCATGTAGATGTTGAACAACATTACTAGTTTTCATTCCAACATTATTCTGGTGACCCCTTTCCTAGATCAGAAAAAGTGGCCTTAAACCAAGAGGAGACAAAATGTACCCATGTAACATTGATGGCTTTTGTTTGGTGGGATGTTGAAAAACTTTTTTTTCCAGTTCTAAAAGACTTCAGTAGCAATTAATTTTATATTATGTAGGTTGGGCGATAGATTCCCCCAAACCTCCTCTAGAAACTAACAAACTGACACCAGATTTCCCCTCCAGTGCCCGCCCTTGCCCTCCACGCTGCCCCACAAGCCCTCCTGGTCGCTCACTCTGAAGGCTCTGGTCATCCTTCTCAGTGCCATGATGTGCTGATGCTGGAGAGCTCAACCAAAAGCCACCAGCAATAGAATGACAAAGCCACCTCTGTCGGCCACCCGGTCCAGAGCACGAATGACCAGTCGCCCTGGCCTGGCTCGGAACTGTGTTGCTGTGGCAACCATGTGAACAGACCAGGCTCGGGAATCCAGCAGAGCAACTGCCAATTTTTGAATGAAAACTAGTCTAAGCTTTCGCAGGGCTCAGTGGTGGTTCTCTAGGATGAGCTGCCAACTGCCTTCCTGGCCTGGCTCCTGGGCTTAGAAGCAACAGCCTGACCAGCAGCAAGCCTTCTTTTCATACCACCTGCAAAGTTGTCCCTAAGGACCACATTTACTTCTCGCGAACACAAAACACCAGTTCCTTGTTGCTTCCCTTCTCAAAACCCTCATCAAATTTGCTCTTCTTTTTCACTTTCACTATTAGTCCACCAGGAAAGATGGCCCATCCCAGCATCTCCCAGAAGGAAGGTTCCTGAGACAGCAGAGGTTGATCCTGGATAGCTGGGCTGCTTTGGGGGGGGCTCCCCTTCTTTTTCCCACCATGAGTGCCAAGCACTTGAGATGGCCTCCAGAAACACCAAGGTCTCTTGCCTCTGGGTGAAAGGTAGAGAGTTGCTGGGTTCCAGTCCTGCCTTTTGGCTCCTGCCACACACCTACCTTGCATTTTATATGAGGAAGTGGTGTCACAGCTGCTCCTACAGGAATGGGGACAGAAACCTGCTGTCTGCCAACATGGCAAAGCCAATGGGAGGAAAGGAACCTCCCCCCCCCCAGTTCAGTGTCTTTTCTGCCGCAGGATCCTCTAAGTCAATAGACCCTTCCCAGAACAAATACTGCCCCACCACTGGAAAACGAGCTGATGCTCATTAACACCAAAAATGTTACTCAGCTAAGCCGAGGGGACAGTCCAATCCCCCACATCTAGGAAGTCTTTGTTGCTACATTTGAACCTGTATTCAAAAAGAGGGGAGGGGGGAACTGAATATTGACAAGCTACGCTGAAATCAAAGGACTGAAGGTGGGCACAGAAGGGGGTTGTTGCAATACCTCCGTATTTAAATCGCAAAAGAGACCCAAGGCAGTGATTATTCTAGGACTGGAAAACAATTCACAGAGCTCAGTCCACTCCCAAAATGCAGGCAAGAAGAGAAAAAGAAGCAGCTGCTTTTGAGACATCCCAGAGATGCCATCTGAGTTGAAATTGCTTAATTAAAAAAAAATACCTGTGCACCAAGCAGGAAATTCCAGTTCAGTTCTGAAACCTCTATTATCCTGGTTAACATAATATTCAAGGCACTTTTTATCCATTATATGGAAATGATCACTTAGCTGATCATTTTTTTATCGTGAGGAAACAAGAAAACATGAAGAGGGTGGCTGAAATTCACACAATCCACACAAATCTGACAGACTTTTTCCCCTCCTTTCTCAAATATCACCTTAAATTTCATGTTGATATTGTTGTTGTTTAGTCGTGTCCGACTCTTCATGACCCCATGGGTCAGAGCACGCCAGGCCCTCCTTTCTTCCACTGCCTCCCAGAGTTGGGTCAAATTCATGTTGGTCACTTCGATGACACAGTCCAACCATCTCATCCTCTGTCGTCCCCTTCTCCTCTTGCCTTCACACTTTCCCAACATCAGGGTCTTTTCCAGGGAGTCTTCTCTTCTCATGAGATGGCCAAAGTATTGGAGCCTCAGCTTCAGGATGTCCTTCCAGTGAACACTCAGAGTTGATTTCCTTCAAAATGGATAGGTTTGTTCTCCTTGCAGTCCAGGGGACTCTCAAGAGCCTCCTCCAGCACCACAATTCAAAAGCATAAATTCTTTGGTGGTCAGCTTTCTTTATG